GGACTGTGACAGAGCCTCACCCCACACAGCAGGTAACACAGTAACATTACACAGCTACCCAGCCCCACACAGCAGGTAACACAGTAACATTACACAGCTACCCAGCCCCACACAGCAGGTAACACAGTAACATTTCACAGCTACCCAGCCCCCCCACCCCCCCTTAAATGGGCTCTTTAAGCAGAGACTGAGACAAAAACAGCAACCAGCTCCTGTTGTCTGGCTGAGCTTTAACTCAGCACAACAAAACACTCAGCCCTGTGTGTGTGTGTGTGTGTGTGTGTGTGTGTGTGTGTGTGTGCATATTTATATTATCTACAGTGGACAGAAAATTAATAATCCTCCTTTAACAATTTTTACATTTTGTTAACCTAAAGCCTTGAGTTAAAAGGCAAAAAAACTATATTTTTTCCTACTAGTCAACACAGAATACTTAATTTCAAAATTAAAAAAACTAGTTGTAAAAAAATTCTTACATTAATGAAAAATATTTAACTACAATATTTGTATTTGATAAGCTTGCGTTCCATTTAAATTGCATCACGTAAACCAGTGTTTCCCAGCCCGGTCCGCAGAGACCCCTAAACGGTCCACGTTTTTGCTCCCTCCCAGCTCCCAGCCAGTCAGTCAGTCCACATTTTTGCTCCCTATTGAGAGAAGGAAGGAAGTAAAAACGTGGCCCGTCTAGGTGGTCCCCAAGTACTGTACTGGGTTGGAAAACACTGAACTAAACGATCACAAAATAACTCGTGCAGAATCACTAACCTGGTAATTTAAAGGCAGCTGTGTATCGTGGTCCTTCACATCGCCAGTGCAGAGAAGGTGACTATTATGGACGGGCAAAGTCTGAGTCCCAACCAAAATCCATTTGAACATTTTTTAAACGACCTGGAGGCTGCTGATCATCACTGAAAACCAGCCTGGGTCTCCCTGCTCAGATGTGCAAAGAGGAGTGAAGGAATGTCCCAAAACCCAGGGGTGTCGCCCCCAGGAAAAGCTACATCAAATGGCTGGGGGCTGAAGCTGCCATTTCCGCCAAGTGCTGACACAGGGGCATATGCCCAACGAATGAAGACATTTAAACACTTGCTATATTCAAAAATTAAAATGGTTTCACTGCATTCATATGGTTGTGTTTAAGCAAAGCACGGCCATTTAGCCCACGACCTTTGAAACATCTTTGGAGAGCAGTACGTTCTTTTTCTGTGTTCCTGGCATAATCAACATCAGTCCTGTGTATCCTATCAGTGCTGAATATTGTAAATCAATGCCCTACATGTTTTCAAAATGTATACTGAATGCACAATTTCTGGATAATCGATTTCCACCCTTTTCCTGTCATCTCTCAGCCGCTTTGGAGGAAGCTGACAAGAGACTACAAGGTGAGATCATGTCACAGCTGAATGGTTTAGGTGCAGCCAGATATCTGTGCGAAGGGCTGGATGTTCTGTTCTTTTTGTCTGCTACTATAAAGCCTTCTACACACATGAAAGCAGCTTTATTCCACTGAAAAAGAATATAGACCCCTAGAAAAGTTTTATCATTTTGTGTGAAGTACTGTAGGTGAATTTGCACCTGAAGAGAGAGACGGTATTATCGGTGGTCGATAATGCAGAATGGCCAGTGCAATGTGCTGGCAGTCAGTCTCAGCTGTAGGTATTAAAAGCACTTTTCACCCTCATTGTAGCTCTTGGACTTACAGCAAACAGAATTCAGTCAATAAACAAGAGATACCAAAGCAGTGAACTCCTCCTGAACCTCACCCTCCCGTCGACACCGCTTCACTGGCCTCCGCTTTCCCCACACGATCCTCGGGGGGGGGGGGTGACTTCCTCTGAGCGGTTCCTGTCCCTCCAGCCCTCGCAGGTTCACCTGGAGCTGGAACAGAGGCGGGGGCCTGTCAGTCTGCTCCTGGAGCCAGAGCATCTCCTCAAGCATGTGAGGGGCTCTGCAGGAGACCTCAGTAAGAGGGTCTGATGCAGCTCACTCTGCACTGATGACACATTACACTGCTGGATTACAGTAAGCAACCATTTAAACATGTGCTGTGTATAGAAATATGGAAGTATTGCACCAAGTGCAGTAATAATAGTGCAGGGGGAAGCGTCAGTCACAACAGCATTCAGTTTGGGGGGGTCGGGGGCTGGTGGATGTCAGTCTGGCAACAGCTCTGCGGTACGACCAAGTCTATAAAACTCAGGCCTGATTTGGAGTAAAATAAAGCTAATTAAAGAAACTCATGGACCCACCACTCCAGGCTCGGTCCAAACGATCCCGCTTAGGGCGGCGGGTACAGCGTGTCCGGTCCAGTCCGGTCCGGACGTGTCCTGTAGCAGAATCCAGATCCACCTTCCGCGTTTTGAGGCTCGACAGGCAGATGCAAAGAAACCGAAAACTCAACCACTTACAAAAGGCTTTATTGTTCAAACAGATTAAACGTTTTACAGCTCCAAGAACAGACAGCTTGGGGGGGTTTAAAACAGCACAGCGGTACTGGGATACGGTCTGCAGAGTGTTGGATCAATACTGGGTCATTGGCATACAAAGAACAAGTTACACACATCTGTATTCACTTACATCAATACAATTAACCGTGACATATTCTTCAGTAAAACTAAGTGTTAAACAAGCGTTACATTGTTTCATATTAATACAATTACCTCATGGGCTCTGATCATCATCCTATGCAGTATGAGTCACTGTAGCGTAACACATGAAACCTCTAAATTGCTGACTCAGATTTGGATACTACAGGCAAAGGGCTGAATGCAAAACAAAACTACAGAACTGGATTTAAGGAGAATGGGAAGAGACTTGCTAAAAATCCCTTTTGGTAGGTTTCCTGTTTTCACACAACAAGGATTGGCTTTGGCTGTATGTCACAATGGCATCAAGCAATGATATCAATCATTTAGGAAAGGAATTGCCTGCTTATTGATTAAAAACATGTATAAACGCCCCGGGACCTCATTGTGCAGAAGTCACACTGCAGATAGCAGACACAGTGGGGAGATGCCAGACCTACACTCCTCATTCCAGAAGTTGGGTGTATTTGTGTTGATCCCCAAGTTTTCTTTTTTAATTCCATCCACATATTTCCTTTTTTCACAAAGTCTTTTTTTTTGTTTTTGGTCTGGGATGTTGAGCCAATAACGGCGTGAAGGTGACGGGGTTAGGTGTTCCAGCCCAGTCCGACGTGCGTGACCAGGAGGTAGCACATGCCCACCGTGGACGTCAGAAGCATCATGGGAAATCCCAGCCTACGACACAAAGCAAAGGGTACTTCAAATATATCAATATAATGCAATCCAAGCTAGCAGCGGGGAAAGACTAACTGTTTTAGTGCAGAAATTCAACCACAAATTAAATAGAGCTAAATAGTATTAACAGAAGTAGATCTAGTTAAGTACCTGAGATGAAGGATTCAAAAGCAAGGCTCCCTGTTGGAGCTTCAGAGTCTGGACAGTGGAACTGCTTTATGTATCAAGGGGAGCAAGAGTTCACTGCACCACCTACTGGAGTTCTGGTTGTGATCATCCAACTGACCTTCAACACCATCAGTTTTCAGTACTATACGACTTCTGGTTTGATGAAAATGCGTAAAAATGGAAATGGAAATCTGCAGATATATTACTACTCCATTCCTGCGAGATGTAACATGGGTGGCCTTTGTAAAATCATGCAGAACCTTCAGGCTGCGCCCCTCCATCCAATCAGCCCTCTGATTGGGTGTCTCACACTGGGAAACATGGGCATTCCTTCCATGGAAGGGGAGGTGTTGGACTGGGATTGCTGGGATTACATACAAACATACAATATTAATCAGTGAAGTTCCGCCCAAGTCAGATTTCTTCTTGGTTTGGAATGAAAATGTCCCCAGACAGGAAGCCAGCTCCAGAATATTTTCTCAGAATAGATGATATTGTTTGCTCAGTCCATCAGCATCAATGATTTATGGGTTTTCTAGGCTGAGGGTTACATTTAATCACACACACACACACACACACACACACACACACACACACACGATATGTACAACAGACTAGCAGTGTCACACTCCGCATGGGACATGGTCATTCAGAGTGTGGTAATTACAGAATGTTACTCTCACTTAACAGACCTTCACTTGGTATATCACAGCTGGAAGAAAAGCTAAACAAGAAATTCAAATTCGTAATTTTGCTGTTTTCTGCGTCAAAGTAGAAAGCACTGTACTTAACGACAAAGGTGACAGAATCTTTACACAAATCACATCTCGGCCAGTTCAGATCGCTACCCGCAAACAACTGAGTAAGACTGTTGCAAGAAAGGTCCTGCATTTTGGAGGTTTGTGGGGATTTTTTTTAATGGAACTAAATTTTGAGTGAGTGACTTGTTTTTACTCAGACCTCAACAGACCTTGAATATGAGGAGGACAACTCTTTGCAACCTCTAAAACAGAAGGTTATGATTGATGATGCACTTTTAGCATTGATAGGAACGTGAACTGCAGTTGTAGTGTCACTTTTATAGTTTATTGTACAGTGTAGAAGGTTCCAGAAAAATGGTAGGTGGTATACGCAGTGTTTTGTCTTAATATAGCTGCCAAATGTGGTGAAGATACTGAAAGGTTGTAGAAGCAATTTCTATTCCTTCTGCCTCACCAAGCAGTTCCTACAGTGATGCCCATCCTTTACTGTACATGTGGCATCAAAACCAGCAGGAATGGTGAGAACAGACACAGGTGACTGGAGTCAAAGCATAACTTTTAACAGGACACAAGATCAAATCGGAGTGACAATCAGAGGCATCAACAACACAGTATTCAATCAAACTTTTATGCGGCGTGTTTGGACGGGTCAGACTTGCTGGTGGAGTGACGGATCCAAAAAGAACGTTTGATCATCTTTCAAGAACAGAAATGTCCATTTTTGCTCAAGAGTTGGCTGTTGTGCTTCTCAGAGGAGAGACCTTGGCCTTTTCAAGCCTCACCGGACAAAAGACGAGCAAAAGCCCTTCGGATCCGGAAGAGATCAGTGCACTCACCAGTATGTATGAAGGTGCTGAGGAAAAACTTTTAGATTCTTCATTGCACACTTTACTAAATTAGACCCATGTATTAGATACTGGGAAGCTATCACAAGCTTGCATAGTCTGTTATTATTGATCAGTGAACACTACAGAAATTGTCCATCCAAGTTACTTCATCCAATTGTCATTCACTATAAAATATCAATGGTTTGAAGTTACAGTTTCAATTGCAGTGCTAAGTTTCAATCCTTCCATACCGATAACCCATTTTCTCCAGACACAGTCGTAACACAATTTCCTGGTACATCTCCACCAGAAATCAGGACCAGCTTAAGACAAAAAGGCAACAATGAAGCCGACTATAAGAGAGCAGAAGGAAGTGTTCATGAGAAGCCTGGAGCGGATACAGACACCTGTTTGGCGAGTGAGACAGTGGGTAACTGGACGAGGAAGGACAAGCTGGGATGACACACCGACATGGAACAAAAACTGAGTATAAGTGAAACAAACATGCAGACAGAAGGTTAGTGAAGGTCTGGAGGGGGAGTATGTTACTTTAATGGTTTGTTTTATTAGTTCAGTGACCATTAATTCCTAGAGTTAAATTAACATCTAATTTATTGGGCTTTTACAATGTTCATTTGAAACAGTTCCCTGGAGGGCGTTTACTGTGACATGTTCCAAAATTGTTTTAAAATTAGCAGTTTTTAGTTCATTTTTTTGATGCAAGATACTGCATTTGTGCATTTTTATATATATTTGTCAGTGATATAATTTCAATACACTGCCGATTTAATAAACAAGCACAAAGGATTTATGAACATTGCTAGAACTGCTCTTGTTATTTCTTTCTCATGTGTATTCTTGCAGTGAGTGTTCTTGCAGTGAGTGTTCTTGCAGTGAGTGTTCTTGCAGTGAGTGTTCTTGCAGTGAGTGTTCTTGGCTGATGTCTGCGGTTCAGGGCTGACAGCTGGTTAACTTAACATTATTCAATGGGGAGAATTTGCCGGTAGCAGACAGACACACATGTAGCCTCAGTGTTCTACTTTATAATTTTAACAACAAAAGATCATGGACTTGAGCAGTGATTGAGTGTACCATGACTATATATTAACATACTATTTAAGTCTTTTAGTATACTGAAGTACTCAAGCGTTGCTTTTAGAAAAAGACTATTTTAAAGTACGCTCGGAACACATTTCTTAGAAATGCATTTTGTAAGATCAATAACATACTTCTGTCCTACTTAAGTGACACATAAGTGCATTTTTAGAAGTCTTTCAGTGATATTTAAATGTAATATAGACACAATTAAGTTGTAGTTAAGTATAACCTTTTTTAGCACATCAAAAAGGTGTTTTCAGAAAAAGTGGACTTTTCTAAGTGCACAGTATTCACATCCTTTTTTTCCCTCAAGCGTGTACACCTCTTACACATTACCGAGTTAAACAGCAAGAGCAACGACAGAACATCACATTCACCGGCAAGAATGATACGGGGCACCAGCGGGATGTCGCCAGGGATCCAGACAACTGGGAGTTTAATCCCATAACTTGGGCCAGAGGTTCTCACCTGGTGAGATATGGTGAGTTTAGATCTCACCATATCCAAAGAGTTCTGGATTGAAAGCCCAGTAATAAAGTTTGAAATGAGGCATTGCGTGACCACCGGACAGGTTCTCATTAACCGCTTATCCTGGTTGGGGTCACAAAGGGGTCAAGGGCCTGGACGGGACACCAGTCCATCACGGGGCACAGGGCTGGGGTACACCCTGGACGGGACAAAGGCCGAAAAGACGGCGGCCTATCACACGCAGTTCTGTGTCACTTCCATATCTTTTCCACAATTACAGTATACCTAGTAATGTGATGATGTGACCATTTCTTAAAATAAAATAAACGGGGTGAAAACCATTTCAGGTTAAAGCTTTATCATCAAAAGAAGATTAACCTGGAAATACCCCCCCACACGTGTCACGATCAGGGAGAAGGTATTCCCACCTCAGTCACCGGTAAGCAGTAAGGCTCTACGTAACACAGAATTTCAGTTAATAGCTAATCATTCCACATCATTCCACAAGAGATGGGCGGATTTAGCAGGTCTTCGTGAAATCGCACACCGGCTCCCCGAAGCAAGATTATCGGAATCCGATCTACATTTTTAAATCCATTTAGCGATGACCTTTCTCAAAGCCTCCCTGCACCGTCGCTTTCAGGAGGAGATCTGCGCGGTAAGCGTCTGGGTGGCTGTGTCGTGGGGGCACGGGCGGGGGGGGGGTCATGTGTATATTACATCATCACATCAGATAATGAGCATTGTGTGGAAACTTTTCTAGCACATCTGCATAATAAAAGGTTGTTCGCTCAGCTGTTACCTCCAGCAGCAGTTAAGCCAGAGCAAAGCACGTCCTGTTTGTCAAATACAGTAAACAATTAAAAAACCCTAGAAAATGAATCACATGCTGGTCAGCTGACACCCACAGGAACAGGCCGCTACGGACATGCTGCGTTTGGTTAACCCTGACTATGCGTCACGACGGAGGATTTGAAAAGTTTGCCCTGCACAAGCAATCATAACTAGCATAAAATATCCCACAATGCACTGTGACTGACCTACATCTTCACCAGAATGGGATACAGTGGTGGCTCTTCTTTGGCCACGTGCACTACAGAAGGAGCATATTTAAAACATCACCCTTTCCCTCCCCCCACCTGTGGTTTCCACAGAAACCTAGAGGGTAATGCACCCCTGCGTGCGACGTGGGCCGGTCCACATACAGTATTATTCACCTGTGGGGCGCGACAGCCCCTGCACCCCTGCGTGCGACGTGGGCCGGTCCACATATTATTTACCTGTGGGGCGCGACAGCCCCTGCACCCCTGCGTGCGACATGGGCCGGTCCACATATTATTCACCAGTGGGGTGCGACAGCCCCTGCACCCCTGCGTGCGACGTGGGCCGGTCCACATGATCCGAATCTTCCTTTTGCTCGGGTCCAACTCCCCTGGCACAGCCAGGTGATCTTCATCTGGGGCCCCTTTTAATTAAGGCAGGACGTATTACCCTGTCTGCTGTCCACACAGTAAGACTGATTCTCTAGACTATAAATAGATGGAAACTGGGACATTTCCATCCTTTATAAGGGTGATAATCACTGGCAGGAAGACCCGACACAGGTTAGTCCGACTGCCGAGTCACACGTGCCAGTACGGTCGGTCCAAACGCTGAACGAGCAGGGGGGTGTTCATACTTAATCAGTGCGTGCCCTCCCCAGTCTCTGCCGGGGAGCCAAGGGCCCCAAGGCCTGGGGACACAGCCAGGAGTGTCACAGCTTTGCATGCCGCTGCTGATCACGACAGCACTGCTGGTCACAGGCATGCAGCGCGACAAGCCCGCGGGGACTGGGGGCAAAGCTCCCCCCGCTAAAGCGCTGTGGAACCTGCCTACCCATGAAGACCCAGGTCTCAGATGATTTCCGTTCTGCATGTAGACAGAGAGATGCTTCTGGAAGGGTGTCTGCCTATGGACTGGCAGGTCCCCCACACCTATCTACGCCGTCCAATCAAGGGTGGGACGACAGAGATGGCAGAGAATCAGAGGAATGAGCCCTGACCTGCCTCTCTTTGGCAACAACCATTTATCTTCACTCCAGCCGTTTAACTACTGATGGATCATCCTCGCCAGCGCCCCCTTGTGGCTGCCCGACCTTCTGCCCAGTTTTACCCCCCCACCAGGCCGCTGACTCTGCTCTTTGCCAGGGGCCACTTTGCGCTCATCAATCTTCTCCCTGCCCCGGATATTTCAGAGGTGCAGTCACCATCCTTTAGGGCAGCATGTCAATGAGCTTCCCGGACAGTCATGAAAAGCACATATTGTCCGTATTAATTATATATTTTTCCACAAAGGGATCACAAGTGTGTGCTTCAAGCGCTTCGGGGAGGTTTTGTTTTGAAGGACATCTCATTCCACGCCCCCCTGCCAAACCTCGAGGATGCACCTGCTGTCTTCTCGGGGTGGGGGAGGGTATTGCAGACACCAGGCAGCCGTGGCCCAAAGCTTGGATGGCAGCGACACAGCCATGAAAGGGGAGGGCTGGGAGGCGGGGGTCCCCGCAAGCCGCACGCTGCTCCACAGGATGGAGGGGGTTTGTGCATCATCGACGGCAATGCCGTTTTTAAGGGAGAATTCTGACAACCACAGGACAGCAGGCAGCCCTGGTTCTGTGAAGATCAAGCTCGGTACAGACGCACACACCAGGGGCTCCAGCGCTGATGCACGCCTGAACGGCCGGTGCTAGTGAGCTCGCGTCTCCGTTAATGGATCACGCTACAGTTCGGAAACGTGGAGTGACAAATAGGCGAGGCAGCCTCAAAGCCCAGAAGCACAGGGTTAGTTGAATTCTTTCTTTGACAACATTTCACAAGTATTGAACCACACGCCGGCAGCAGTGGCAGCGCACTGGGACCCCCCCGGTTTCCCGCCAGTGACCCCTACTTCTTTCTGCCTATTAATTTCGCCCATATCCCTTTCAGGGCGGAGCAGGGATGCCGTTTAAAGGTAATTGGCTTTCGAGCCGAATCTAGCAAAAGCAGATAATGGGAGAGCTGCGGTTCGGCACCACGCCGCATTTTTCAACGTGATTAATTCAACGTGTTTGCGAGAGAGAGGCTCTGTCATTAGCCCGGTCGTGGGATCTTCATTCGGTGCTATAGGGCATTCGAATTACAACACCCACCACCCCACACCCCCAAAAAAAAAACACTGTTATGAGCCACAATTTGTTTTTTTGGATTTTATTATGAAGCACTTGTGAGAGACACCAGTGCACCCATAATCCCCATGGTAACCCCATAAAGCCAGCTGGGGGCGGATTTACGGCAGGCCGGGATTTCATTTGCTAGACATCGCCTTGTAGACAGCAACAGAAGAGTAACAGTTCAGGAAAGGGACAGGCCTGGTCTCTAAGGTGACCATTGAAGGGATGAGATGGGGAAAAAAAAAAACAACAAATGTATTTCGACACAGCAGCAGGCTAATGGAGGGTTCAGACATCTGCGACCGTCTATCGAATGATCCCCCCCCCTCGCCAAGATTCTACAACAGACATGAAATTGACCGTCAGTCATGGTTAGATAACTGCATGCTACTGCAAATAACATGCAACAGGGAGGGAGGGAATCCAATGATAAATGAGCAATTATACCACCATCTGCCACTTTCCTGTGTCTTTCTCCAGGCCCAGGCGAGACGAATCCGCTGGCAGGACCAGCCAGGACCTCCCAGATGTTCCACCAATTTGAACTTGCATTTGACAGGAAGACCCAGCAGGGGGCAGACCGGGGACCCCAGGAGGAGCATGGGGACGGAGATATGAGCCAAACGCCATAAAGTTCCAGTGTTCGTAATCATACAGAAATGAGGCGGTTCACACATCCTACAGTTCCAGCCCTAACCAAACCCAGTCCCAATAAGAGGACGGCCAGTACCCAACAGTAGAGTCCCTCTGCGACACCTGCATCTATGACATCGTCAACATGGGAGAACCAATCAAAACACAGTTGTAGTAGCCTGAAATATTAAAATGAAGACAATGAAAAATGTATTCTTTCGGAGGTACCTTGGTCATGACAAGTGTGATGCCCATCCCATCTCCTGAGCAGGACAAGTGACATAATTAAAGTATCAACGTCTCAGGTTCTCTGGCAGCAGGGATAAATATTTGGAAACCCCAAATCATACATAAGTCAGGAGTCTCCCCTGGTGCCTGAAGACAACTTGGGTACAAATCTAGGAAGAGTTTTAATTAACTTGCATCCTGTCAGCGGAAGGTTCCAAAAGTAGAACGGCCTCATTTGTCTGTCAGGAGTCTTCTGCTCGCATCCCCGTGGTTCAGCTTCGCAGTGACAGCCTAGCTGCCGCATTCACCGGCGATTGCGCTCGGTGTGTCTGGGGACAGCGGAATAAATTGCAGGCACCTGCTGCCTAGTTTTATTCTCTGGGCCCTGAAGGGGTCAGGGAAGGAGACGGACACCCTCTAGGGGAATCTCCAGCACGTGCTTCGAGATTCGGTTGGAGAGTATTCGGGCTGGGTCCCCCCCAGGTGTGATTCACTGAGGTGGTTTTCCAAACCGCCCTCTCCAGTTGGCATGAGGCACCGCGATGACCAGAAGGCTGCACCATCGAGCAAAACGGCCAGCGAGCATGGAGATGGGCTGGCAGAACCAATCGGTGAGCGAGGATGGGTAGCTCACTGGCAAATCTCACGAAGATCATCTGCTACACACGCCGCCTGAGAAACATGCATAGGTTCTCCCACGACTCCTTTGTTTCTAATTAGCATCATTTGTTAATAACTGTGAGGTGTGGGTCTATGAGTCCTAGCAGCTGGCCCACCTTACTACAAACTGAAATTAAGTGCATCTCAGGACAACACAACAGCCACAAGAGATTCAAAGCAACACCGCACACATGTAAAACAAATCAGGCGCCGGTTTAATAATCAAAGCCACTTGCCAGACTGAAGTCATTTCCTGAAACCGGCGAACCAACATGGCCGACACGATTTCCCCAGGACCGCGTGGGACTCACCTGAAGAACTCCATGAAGGAGAAGCCGTAGCCGTGCTGCTCGGCGATGCCGGCACACACCACGTTGGCCGACGCACCAATTAGTGTCCCGTTGCCTGCAAGAGAAATGTTGTTAGCTTTGGTTGCTTATGGTTAAGGTTAGGACTGGGTAGGGGTTAAGGTTGGGGTGGCACAGTAGCACAGTATTTAGCACTGTAGTGTCACACCTCTAGGACCAGGGTTCGAGTCTCCTCCATGGCTGTGCGTGTAGAGTTTGCATGTTCTGTGTAATTATGGGGTTTCCTCCCGGTGCCCCAGTGTCCCCTCACAGTCCAAACACATGCTGAGGTTAATTGGAGTTACCAAACTGTGCATGTGTGAGTGAGTGGCCTGTGCCCTGTGACGGGTTGGAGCCTCATCCTGGGCTGTTCCCTGCCTTGCGCCCATAGCCTTCACGATAGGCTCCAGACCCCCCATGACCCTGAATAGGACAAGCAGTTACAGAAAATGGATGGATGGAATTGGTAATCATTCATTCCACTGGCCAGATCACTGCTGACATTACCGTATACTAACCAATCTTTCCATAAATGTAGGACTTGCTGTGTATTGTGATCCACTTGTTCAAATGGATGAGGGCCTCATCTACCCTGCAATACCATGAATGACATCGAATGTTCACGCCTCCACTTCATAACTATCCTTGGAAATCCAATATAAAATAGTCTAAAAACGATAAGCATCCAGCAGCAAAGGTTGCTTTGACCCTGAAAAATTTTGCCATACATCCTGCTTATTTACAAATTAAAATACAAAAAAGGACCATAGATGGCCCTCAAGTACCATCTTAGTGTATAAATTAATATGCCATGTTGCCTGATGAGAACCCTGAAGGCAACTACAGCCAACAGGTGTTGCAGGAAACCTCGAGTGACCAGCTGGAGCTCACCTCCCCCCGCTCACTCCCTCGCTGGCCTGGTGTTTTACCTGAGCGACAGGTATCCCATGATTCTGTGCGCTTGACCTGATTCTGGTGGGTGTGTTTCCCTCAGGAGGGTGGGAGCTGCACTAATGCTAGAGCATGACGCTGAAGGCCATGCATTTGCATGAGTGTCATCAGCAGAAAGAGGCATCTCTCTAAGTTTTGGTTTCTTCTTTAGAGGTGTTCTTAAGGTGGATGACCGACTTCAGCGTCGCTAGTTAACTGAAATCCTGCATGTTAGCTGATGCTAAAGCTTGGATGCTAGAACAGAGTTGGTGGTTGAACCTATGCGTTGTGTAAATTTTGGGTCTGATGGAACCTCAAAGGGGTACGCATGCATTAACGTATGTCAGTGAAATGCCAGGTCAGCGTAACTTCCTGAGTGTTTTTCGAAACGGACACAGGCTTAAGGAGTCTGTGCAAAACCCTCTGGAAGGCTGCTGAGACTGCTGTCTGCAAACAGGAAGTGTTGCATAAAAACAGGAAGTCGCTGTTTTGATCTGGTCGGCTGGACTCCAGCAGCTCTGTATTGATCGCCGGTGTGACGTTGTCAGTGCAGAGCTGAACCTAGCAGGATGTTGTTGCCGTACTTTACCTGCAGGTTAAATTTAAAAACACTCTCTGGACTGCAACATGTGCAGGAAGGTTAGTAAATGAAAAACACTGGCAAGTTCAGTCTCTTACGCTGCTTGGCTGTGAGTGTTACTGACCTCCCAGGCAGGCTCCCATGGCAAGGGCAAAGATAAGTGGCCTGACGGGCAGATTTACGTCAGCGTCTTGGCTCAGATTAATAAGAACGGGAATCTGTCGGCGAACATATGCAGAGATACAGAGCATTAGGAACCATTCACTCTGGAAATGCTAATATAACCACGGGCTATTATTGGCTTGTCAGCCCAATTTCAATAACCGCTGAGGGAATTAAATGTAAAGAGCAAACGACCCAAACATACACCAGCTCTCAGCAGACAGCAGTGATGCGTCATCTGGCCCGGAGGTCCATGGCTATGCACATCAGCGTTTCCCAGGCTGGTCCATGGGGATCCCCCAGACAGTCCATGTTTTTGCACCCCCAGGAGGGAGCGAAAATGTGGACTGTCTGGCAGGGAGCTGGGTGGGGACCGTATTGGGTCCCCGCAGACCAGCTGGGAAACATTGATTTACATCCTTGCTGGGCTACTGAAAATCGGCAAAAGAAATTTCTGAAAGAATTCTCTGTGGCATTTTAATGTTGCACGAAATATACCAAGTATTAAAACAGTTTGTAAGTCAAGACCCATTACTGCTCATCATGTGTCTACTTGTTAATGTATTTGTCAGAAGTACGAGGTTGCACATTGTAACACGTGTAAACAATGCATTCAAATCAAGTGTCTGTCACACGCAAACAAGGGATTAGATATAGCAAGATATTCACTCGTCATGCACATGTTTTCTTACCGATCTAAGAAGCCTTAAACCGCAGTGTGACTGATATTGACACTCAAGCAGAGTTCAATGTGTTTTTGTTTGCACACTTAGAACAGGGAGATAATGGCAAATCCAAGCACTGCGCTTAATTCTCCAGTTATTTTCGGTGAAAAATAGCCTTTCAATTAAGGCAGGGGGAAGGCGCAGGAGATTACATTCATGTCAAGGCAACACCGAGGTAGCAACTCTGCGAATCGCACGCTTAAGTGCTCACTCCGGGCAAAAGCGCCGTGGAGCGGAGAGTGCCGGAGACTTTCGGGAAAAGGGAACACGAGCTTGTTATTGTTGTTGTCACGTTAATGAATTTTAATGGCGGCTAAAACTGTGGGAGACATGAAAAATGCAAAGGACCGAGAGATGTTTTTCCCAAGCGTGGTTTTTGGACGGGACAGCGGGGGCTTAAAGGGGCCACGCAGCCAAAGGGAGCTCACCATGGTGGCAGTGAAGGGGATGTTGTCGATGAGCGAGGACACCAGAGCAGACACCCACATCACCAGGATGATGGCAATGGCCAGGCGCTGCTCATCCGGCACCGACTGGGGGGGAGGAGGACAGAAATTTGCACGGGGGGGGCAAAAATCATGGCAGAAAACTGAGCATTTTTTCATACAAGGACCTGTCTTCCAGCACAGTACCCCCCCACCAGACATGAACAAGGCCCCTGTTGTGGCATCAGGAGCCGATATGAATGTCATCTTCCCTGTCTGTTCAGGTGCCTGGGGGGAGGGGATCCCCACATAGCCTGTCAAAAATATTAACACCCCGAGACGGAGACACAGGCCGCTCTGTCTCTCCGAATGTGATTCCTCGCCAGAGAGGTGCTGCCTGCCGGTTGCCGTGGTAATTCGCGCTGGGAGACGGCAAGGTTGGGGGGATGGGCAGTGGGCCATGCCTAGGGCTAAATTGGCCCCCTGGGGGGGAGGTCTTGCACAGAACCCTAGCCAGAGGGAACCCTAGCCATCAATACCTAAAGGATTCCATAGATACCCCACATTACCATAGGTTTAGTTACTAATTACCTCATTATACTTGTTAAAATACAGCCCCATATCACAGACAGATAACATGCAAGACGCAACATGCCACCCTAAGCATCCGCAGCTGGGACAGGCTCCCGTATCACGGCCACATGGACGACGGAGTTCCTTATGACAGTCTAAAGACCTGAATTCAAACTAATTATTGCACAGGACAATTATTGCATGGACAAGATGCTAAAAGTTTTCTGATTCTGGTCCGTAAAACTGGATGGACCAGCCAATGAAAAGGGTCACATGCCTTTATTAAAGCAGCAGTCTGCTCCCCAATGTAGTCGATCAGCTGGAGCTGAGCCAAAGCCTGCAGAAAAGCAAAGAGAAGTGTCAACGGATCAGCCTGTGTTCGCTAACCAGTGGTGATGGTCAGGAGTCGTCCCCCGGGAACAGGCGCACAAACAAGACGTCAAACGCAGGGCTCCGCAGCAACGAAAAAAGTGGACGTTCTCTGCCCACATTTACCGCTCCGGCGGGGGGCCTCTGCTCGCATCTGTGCTCTTTTGGGGTGGGACGGTAACCAAAAAAATAAAGCAAAACTAAAAGATTTAAATGACTGCGTTGCTCTAAGAAAGCATTTTTCTGGTTGAGATACGAAGAGTGCTTTTCACGTTATTTTGCTGATTTTGAAACAAACAGGTCATGCAGTAACACATTTCAACAATAAAACACCCTCTTTCAACCAGGGAAATGAACTTCTTTTAGTGAAAAGCAGGTTTCAGATCCCTAAGTATTCAGTTAGTGTGTCTCATACAGAAAATGACAGCAATTATGTTAGTTTTCCCCTAAGTTGTGCGATTTTAATATCTGTGGGTGCTGTTCCCTGGAATAATGGTATTTTCCAGTGAGGCCCAACTCCCAGGAGCTGGGTCCATCCCAGACATACCTCCATCAGAACAAAGAGCGAGGCGAAGAACAGCAGTGTGGCCCACTCCACCCTGTGCAGGATGATCTCAAAGTCCTGGACATCTGCTAGAACCAACAGCCACAAGGCCCCGAGAATGGCGATCCAGCCTGAGAGTGGGGGACAAGCCAATTACATCACACCCCATCCAGCATCAAGCCAATCATATGGTAGCCCACCGAGGCATTAGCCAATCACACAAACCTTCATTCAGGCTGAATATGATCATTACAACTCATTTCCCAGGTGGTGTGACTGTGTGCCGGTATGGCACCTTAACCACTGCGCCACCTGCTGCAGAGTCAGAGGACTGCCAGAATAGAAAGAACTAAAGAAGCCACAGCTATCAATAGACTGATCCATTTTAATTGTCCTATTAAACTGGAATATTAGGACAGTACCTTCAAACTATTTAAACATATGTTCTAATTTATTCCATCTTCCTGAATAACACTATATAAGATATTATGCTTAAAATATTTTATCTAAATAGTCTCTTGCATGCATAAAATCTCATCAATGAGTTCAACGATTCATCAATGAATTTTGGAAATTACTGAGACAGTAGAAGGTGGCCAATAGATCACTTGGGAAAATGACCAGCGATGTGTTTTGTGAATGAATCAGCTCATTTCCTCGTTTTCTGCCCCCCACCATTAGCCATTTTTAATCAAGGTCATTAAGCAGTCAGAGAGGAGACAGCCGGCAGGCCAGTGCTGAGACATCTGTGGATTAGAGCTGGACCAGGAAACAACTGCAGATGGTTAATGGGAAAACTGTCAACGCACAGGCAATTAGCCCCGTGCAGGCCTCACCCTCCATCACACCCGTCCAGGGCACCATCACACCCATCCAGGGAACCATCACGCCCGTCCAGGGCAACATCACGCCCGTCCAGGGCAACATCACGCCCGTCCAGGGCACCATCACGCCCGACCAGGGCACCATCACGCCCGTCCAGGGTACCATCACACCCGTCCAGGGCACCATCACACCCGTCCAGGGCACCATCACACCCGTCCAGGGCACCATCACACCCACTAAGGGTGGAGTGGAGGATCCGGCACAGCGATGAGAGCCCCTCAGAGTGCATTCTCAGCCCGCTCTCTGTGTTACACAGAAATAAATGTGTGTCTGTGTGAGACACTACCTGAAACAAGGAGTCTCTGGACAGCGTTCCAGAATTGACCAATTGTAGAATTTCCGTAATATCATTCTCAAATCAAATTCATGCCCCAGAAGATGATATTACTAAAACACAGACGGGAGCTTATTCAGAACCGGGGGGTCTTTTGGCAACAGGAGAAAATGCAGGATTGCATCCTCACAGAGCACCTCCCTGCATGTCTATCTATCACCAGCTTGTAGAAGCAGCTGCGGTTCATGAACATGATGTGAGTGAAAAGCTTCCTGTGACATGAAAGGGCCATATTCTCACAATAAAAGAAGAACAATTTAGTTATCTGAATAATATTTGACATTTTCATAAAACGAATAGGATAGACGACCACTGAATCACAGAAAACGACGGGATATCACGGCTACCAAGAGGCCTACGGTGCTTATTAAATATTAATTTATTATTCATTTTTATTTAATATTAATTTATTAAATATTAACCCACCTAGCCTCAAACAGAGGTATTATGTGTAAAATGTGTGCATCAAATATTTCTGCATCTATACAAGAGCAGGGAATTTATAAAAGGTCATCGGTGGCATGCCTAAGTCCCCATAAGTTAAGTAACAAGAGGGCGCCATCACACAGCGGACGGTCGGGGCAATATGTGGCCAAGGGTCATCTGGCAGGGATGAGGACAGTGTGCTCACCATCGGTGAACTAGTGAAACAGCCCTGCTGCATGGGGGCTGCACTTCTGATTTCACAGCAGAGCACAAGGCACTTACCTGGGGGGAGGTTCTGGGGCCTAAAGACTGCTGGGTAACTGAGGGCGGGGTGAACACACATGGAGGGGGGGGGTAATTACAGATCAGTGGGCCAGCTAGACTGCTGGTGGGTGTCTTCATGGTAAATCACACGCTGTGTGAACAGTACTGCAAAAAATGTAGTGAATATATGAAGCTAAGTTATACGCGTCACTTGATTATTTATGTCCTCAGAGGGTTCCCTGTTTCTCTGCCTTCTTTAGTGCTCAGAGAAAATGTGCTACAGTCAGTGAATTTGCTCTGATTTCATGCTCTGATCCTTAACTCTGAAGGGAAGCGGTATACGGTCACAGCAATAAATGACATATATAGCACGACAATTAAAGTGAAAGCGTGGCCGGGTTAGGAAACGCTGCTGTTAAGCATGATTTTAGCTCACAGCTAAAGCCATCACGGTTACAGGGACTCCCCGCAGTCCCCATGATGTACGGCGCCGGGCTTCCAATACCCGGGAAACAGAATCAATCGTTCAGGAATAGCGCACCTGACGGTTTTCTGTACAGCATCCAGTCTATTCATCACGTGCTATTTGTCAGCTCCAGTGAATGCCTCGGTCTTGCTGATGGTTGCTTAAAAGCTCCTGATGTCTATTTAGAAGCGCAGGAAACGCCCCTGGTCCCGCTTTTGCAGAGCTTAACGTGAATGTCATGGATAAGGGATCCCGCGGGGCCCCACAGATCACCTCTCAGGTGGGGGTGACAGCTCAGACAGCCGGGACGTCCTTCTGCTTACATTTGAGGGCTCAGCAAGGGGGCACCGTGCCCGAGACGGCAGCGTGTCTGTTACACTGAGCTGCCCAGCAGCCACCATCATGCGGGGCCACCACCGTGCGGGGCCACCACCGTGCGGGGCCACCACCATGCGGGGCCACCACCATGCGGGGCCCCTTCTGCCCACAACACATCCATACAGCTGGAAGTTTGTTCATGCTCACGGGCCCAAGGAAACGCCGCTCCCAAGTGCATGTCCTTCACCAAGGGGTCACATGCCTCCCCAAGGCGGCGCTTGAGAAGGTTAACCAGGTTATATAGCTACACTGTCAATGGATGGTGGCCCAGGGGGACCAATAATCACCATTATGGGGGGGGGGATGTCCCCTAATATTTAGTTTGACTTCTTTCATCCCCCCCAATCAATAGACTATTAATTAACTATTACATTATGTCCCAAACTCTCTCCTAGGGCACTGGCCATGAGAGAAGCCAGTTGCTGAAATCGAGATTAATAAAGGATGGATTCTGCATCTGACCCAAGGAGTGACAAACCCTGGACGTGTCAATAAGGGAGCAAAACAGACATAGCTCTCCACCCCCCGCCCCTCCCACACCATGCTGGGAGGCTTAAAATGAGGTTTCATTCCAGTCATACTGACGCCTGTGGCATTAAACAGAGTAGCCCTCAGACCTGACAGGAAGCCCTGAACAAGCTCAGGAGGAACTTCAGACATCCTGAAGGTTGGCATGAATGCTGCATCGTGATCACCAAATATGCAGCCTTTACCCAGCATGCTTCGGTGTTTCTAATAAAAAATGTTGGGTATCACAGGTTATTTTTGTAATTTATTTCAATTCGACGCATACATACATTTCAGGATGCAGTCAATGTAAGGATCTGACCAAAGGACCAGTCTTTAACCAACATTTAATGCTCAGATCTGCCCGACTCTCCCCCGCCCCAGTTTGGGCAGACACAGGAGGAAGGGAAGAGCAAAGAGCTGCAATTCCATTGGAGGCAATAAAGCGATCATTCGGCAGTGGCCAGCGGGATGGCAGAGCACAAACACAAGGTCGGGAATAAGGAGGCAGCCGGAGCAGCTGGAGCAGCCATCGGGGTGAAGAGCTTGTCGCTGCCTAAAAGAGGCCACCAGGGGGCGTCCCGACTCAGCACTTCCACAATCCAGCTGTCTGAATGCCTAATTACCATTACCATTACCATTACCTCGGCACGCAGCTGTCAGAAACCCAAGCGACATAAAACTAGCTGTAAGGGCAAGTACATGAAATATAGCACCGACATTACGCAGGACTTTGCCTCTGCAGGAAAGCCTCTTAATAACTATAATTAGGACCTAAATGCATATGATTTCGAGATTCACTGCGAGCAAGAATGAACCCTAATGATGTTTACTATTACGTCACGTTGGGCTGCTGACCTCAGCTGCACACGGGCAAAAACAAACATGTTTGTGGGCTCACAGCTTTAGCCACCGGCGGCGACAAACTTATGAATTCATGTTTACAAATTTAACCCAAAACTTAATTGGGCAGAACCCACCCTGCATTGCTGACTGCCGACAAACAATAAATGTATTTGCCCACCCCCTTCACGGAACTGGGGCGTTGTTCAAGATTTGGGGGCACCTGGAGGTGTTCAACAGTCTTGGGATGCAAACATAAAGCTCTTTGATTATTGCTTTTCAAGAATATCCTGCCAGGTAAGAAAATAACATTATGTCCTAATGAACACAATTTTCCACATGTGCTAACCTCTAATTGTATTTCGGTCATTACTTTGAGTGCTGGAGAAAGACGTCCCACCACACAAAACGAGCCTGAGCTCTCTAACGTCTTTCCATGAAAAGCAGGAGCTCTAAATCCATCACTGCCATCTGCGCGACCTGAACGGCTGTTCAACTCACCGAGATCGAGGTGTATGCTGGGGATGAAAGAATTGAGAAAGAACACACAGATGACGACGGCCAGGACGGAGACACACTTCACCAGCAGGACCTTGTCTGTTATTCTGTGCTGTAAAAAAGCAATTCAAACTGGATTAAGGCTCTGTTCTGCAGGCTATACACTGTGCTGTTTTAAAAATGCAGGGGGCCTGAAAAAAGGTAGAGAACATCTATGAATTCCAAAAATAAGGGGACCGTTGGCATCCATATTTCTGCCCATCCACTTTGGACACAGTATGGAGGGCATGGTATGTGGACAGTGATTCTACTTTATTTGCCATTTCTACGAGCACATAGAAATTCTTACAGGAAAGTGAAGCTTTGGGTCAGGCCATTTATCCAGCGACCCTCAAGCGGTTTTCGCTGGTTAAAGGCTTTGTTCAAGGGGCCCAGCAGCGATCTGATTATGGGGGGCTCAAAGGGGGGACGTTTCAGACACAGGCACACACTTCTACGCTGAGGTGATGTAGGGAAGTGGGCAGAGCGAGAGGAATTCTACACCAAGGCCAAGCAGAGAGCTGGGGTCGGATTCGAAGGCCCGCTCAGATGTACCGCACACCTAAACAGTATAATTCACAGCCTCTCCAGTCTCCATCTACTCTCTTTCCTATGTCCTTTTATCTCTGGGGCTTGCTGTCCCAGAGGAACCTATTACACAGCAACAGTGAGAGACTGGATGAGCTATCAAGCGAGGGGAGAATCAGAGTGTTAATGCTATGTTGCTAATGTGCGACGCCGCCTTTGATCCTGGGCACGGCCCCCGCTAGGATGGCACACGCCTCATCGCACCGCTGTTGGATTACAGCATCACATGCCGCACATGCTTACTTTCTTCTGCAGTTCCTGGATGTTGTTCTCCCAGTTTTTGTCTTCTTGTGAGATTTCCCTGTTAATGACAGCAAAGAGCAGTTAGCGGACTTGCTAACACAATCCTTGAGGCCGTCATGCATAATGCATTATATACCTTCATAATGCATTTTAATGGTTGGTATAAGAATGAATTATGTTTTGTACGGTATTATGAAAGTATCTATAGTGCATTATAGATGAGAGCTTCATAAAGCATTCATAATGCATAATAAACATGGCTATAATGTGTTATGATCTTTTCTAAATATTTATAGCCATGTTTATAATGCTTTATGAATGCATTATGATGTGTTATGAGTGCATTCATAGATTCTTATAGACACAGCATTCATAGAAAGTCTTACTGAGGACTTTTTGCTACCCCTTTCTCTTGAGCTTGAAAGTCTCCACTCCATAGCTCCATGAAAAGGCCTGTGATGAAAATTCTCAAGAATTCAGATCTAAAGTACTGTTAATTTTAAAAAGTATAAATTTGACCGATTTTTACACCTAAGTGTGATAAATGATCACATTTTTGCTTGCAAGGCGTGTCTCAAAGGCCGAGTAGAACCCTCATAAATGGAACTTAAATTGCACTTGCTCATAGAGTCCTCATTAACCAGATGCTCATATATTGGACAGGGATATACAGTATTGCTAAAACATATGGCCCATGTTCCATCACTTTACTCAAATGTGTTCATGCTTGGAAATATTGGAGGTCAACGATCCCATTACCAAAAAAACACAGGGATGTGTTAATTGGTCTCATTAATTGGCGCAGCGGTTAAAGACCTGAAGTTGAGCAGAAGCTTTGCCTGCTGCATCAGGGTAAATAACCTGAATCCTGGGTCAGGCCAAGAATGAAGACATTAAGCACACAGACCATTTGATATCTCAGGTTAAAGCATCTTGTTCAGCAAAGATGGTTAATGAAAGGCCAGTCACCGTTGGAATGTCTTCAGCTTGTTCCGCAAGACACTTTCCAGGTTGTGAACCTTGTGCATCAGCAGGCACTTGACGGCCGTCTCCTCGCGGCTTGCCGGGTTGATGCGCTGCGCCGTCTGCTTCCACACCAGAATCTCGTGCTTCAGCTCTGCGAGGGATGACCAGGAAGAGGGCAGGAAGGACATCAGCAAACACAAACCTTGGTAGCTCCATGTAGTTCAGCAATGACAATTAATGCTTCATTATATAAGGCTGATAAAGTCAATGATTGAAGTCCAAATAGAATTTCACCATAATGGAAACAGGCTTTAAAAGGATGTTTCTTAAAATGGTCAACCAAAGAGTCAATTTTTACCCAGAACTTGTGTCCATGACCTGTCATCAAGAGATACTAGGATGTAAATGATGACTGGGATTCCTGACTAACTGGTGACTGGGATTCCTGACTAACTGGTGGCTGGGATTCCTGACTAACTGGTGGCTAGGATTCCTGATTAACTGGTGACTGGGATTCCTGACTAACTGGTGACTGGGATTCCTGACTAACTGGTGACTGGGATTCCTGGCAGCCCTTCCTGTTGAAACTGCATCAACTAGGGGTGCAGCTCAATCAACAGGAGAATGATTTGTGAGCCTTGGTCTTTGGAAGTACAGGTGTTAGCATGCAGCTCACTGAACATGGCATCACCACTGTGGTAAAACACTCCCACACCCATCCAAGAGCCATTTAATTGCAGTCCAGTCAAAACTAGGGGGGTTGAGGTAGTCTTCTGGCACACAGGTGGATTAGGACAATGCCATGGGGCCGCAGTGGCTGCCTCTGCAGTTCAAAGAGACGCACTTACTCATGTCACCATCCTTCCGGCTGCTCAAACCAGCTGAGCAAATCAGTCAAGCATCCGGTCCAGTCAAAGGCAGCGAAAAATGGCCAAAGAAGGCAGATGAGGCAATTACACTCAGAGGAAGAACATCCATGTGGGACCGGCAAATGTCTCGCGGTCACTGAAGCAGCAAGGCCTCAGGGAGAGATTAGCAGTCTGCAGGACCGTCCACTGTGAGCAAAGGGGGAACGGAGGGAGCTGCTAGGATATTAAGACATCCGGCGCTGAAGACATCCGGCGCTGAAGACATCCGGCGCTTAAGACATCCGGCGCTTAAGACATCCGGCGCTTAAGACATCCGGCGCTTAAGACATCGGTTCTCAAACTGACAGCATTATGGTTGTTAAAACATCTGGGCCAAACAAATTATTCAATTCTTATTTGGATTCTTTTGGGGCTTTAGGCTCATAACACATCTGGTGAACGGCAGAAGTAATGAAGATACAGTGATCGCATATGAACAGCAAATGTAAATTTGGGACATCCTGAAAGATCAAACAACTTTAGTAGGTACTATAAGCCTCGTTGTACTTGTATTCAAACACCAGCAACAGAAAACAACTTGCTATAGTGTCAAATCCACACGTGTCATGCAGGGACACTGAGACAGAGCCTGCAGCAGGTCAGCATCCCATTAATGCCACCAGTAAACCTAGTGGTCAAATTCTGCGTCCTCCTTTTGAGGTTCCCTTGCAGTCCATCACTCCGACAGCTTGCACACCTCCTGGGAGCACATCCCGCTCGCCCCTGCCATCAGACCCAACGCTCCAAGCCTCTGGCCACCCCCTAGATAAGGGGCTCGACCCAAGAGGCCCTTCGCGTGCTTTAACCTGAAACTGTGTCACAGACCGTCAGGCTAATCCGCAAATCCAGCTACTTAGCCGTTACCCTGACACAGAGCGTCCTTAAGGCATTCTCCAAAAGGGCTTCATCCCAATTTAAAGGGAAGAACATTTTGTGGGTCATTTTCTATTTAAAGACGTGTGTGTGGTGCCAACTACAGCCCCAGTGGGATGGATTGAGGAGTTAATTGGGTTTTTGGCAGCACTGCAGACCATTTGTATACTGTAGGTGTAATAAAGGTTGTTATGAAGGTCTTACGTGGGGCTGTTTTCTAAAGCCCGGCCTGCATGAGCCCTCCATTGAACTCATTACATCAAGGGTGTCAAATTCATTTTATTTAACGGGTCATGTTGGACACAATCCAATCCAATCCAATCTCAAGTGGCTCAATCTATGTGTAGTAAGCTAATAAAACAACACCTTTAACTTTAGGACAGAGAACAAAATTCTAATCAGTTGATCGTTTTTAACTGCAGGGAGGGGTGGGGGTGTCCGCTTCAATTTCGAAATAGGGGTCAGCTATCCTCACAATTACGGAAGATTGATGGTGCTTATCAAAATATGATTACCAGCAAAACGCACATTTAAACTGTTAAACTGTGGCAGCACCAGTAAACCGAACCCGACCCGCCTGAGACCTGAAGCTGCCGTCCAGCGCAGCTCATGCAGATGATAACCACGCGGCTTTTCACCAAGTCGTGATGGATAAGACAAGCAGGAAAAGTAGGAGAGATCCGAAATCCTGTCTGCAACCGCATTTCTCGTCAGATTTCCTGGGGCGTGTTGGAGCATGCGATTCCTGCTGCTGTCAGCCAGCGCATCCTCACACACATACCAGCAGAGCGCATTCTTCATGCCAGCCAACCCTCACTGCTGCACCACCAGCCCCTCAGATACTTCTAAAAACATTCTGCCAGCAGTTCATTTACCTGGTTTGTTCTCTGTTGCCCTCACAAGCTGCTGTGTCTTTCAGCACGGCGAGTCTAATGGTGGCACCCAATATAATATTCCTGTGACACTGTAGTGCCCCCCCCATGTGGAAAACCTAAGAACAGTGGGGGGTTTTTTTACTTTTGAAATTATAATTCGGCATTTTTCAATTCAATGAGTCCATTTTCTAAAATTAACTTGGTTAATTTTAATTGTGTATTCAGGCCAGATAAGAACCTCAATCGGTATACAGTACTTCATAAGTTCACGTAAGCCGCAGGAAATGCAGAAGCAGGCCGCATTAAGGCTGCAGGCCTTGAGTTTGACACAATTGCACAAGTGGCACTCATGGACTGGTGGCAGTGAGGCTGTCTCCGCCCACAGCCAATCACCACAGAAAAAACAATAATTCATAGATATACAGTTTTACAGGACAAAAGGTAGCCAACTATTTTTCCCCCCCAAAAAAAGTTCAAGCTCTGCTGACTGGTAAAATCACCTCAGTCATTGTCTTAATTATATCAGTAAAGCATCTGGTTAAAATTCTAAGTGCTCCTTAAAGATCTAGGTCAATGTAAGAGAGGATGGCTGATCTTAGCGGAGGCAAAATGAATGCCAAGTCAAATATGATAATGAACCCGTGCTGTGAACGCGAAACGTAAAATACAACCAAAAAATAAGCCAACCCAACAGTGGTGATGTTTCAGGCAGGAGGGCCTAAAACCCAGAAATAGTGGAAAAACAGGTTTCCAGTGGACTTTTATTACAAAAGTAAGAAAATATATGCAGTTTTTGAGGAAAGATGGTTTGTCGGGACAGTGCCGTGTTACAACTCACCCACAATCTCCATTGGTTCCCGGTTGTACAGTTTCTTGTTCCAGTACAGCAGACGCAGGAAAGGAAATGATGTCAGAAGCACAAGGCAGATCCCCAGGAACATGTAGCCCGTAAAGGCAGCAAAGTCAATACCCTGCAGGTAGAAATGCACAGGGGCGTCAGTCACCGCCACTGAGACTCGCACAGGGGTGTCAGTTACCGCCACTGAGACTCGCACAGGGGCGTCAGTCACCGCCACAGACTCGCACAGGGGTGTCAGTTACCGCCACTGAGGCTCAAACAGGGGTGTCAGTCACCACCGCCGAGGCTCAAACAGGGGTGTCAGTTACCGCCACTTAGACTCAAACAGGGGTGTCAGTCACCGCCGCCGATGCTCAAACAGGGGTGTCAGTCACCGCCACTGAGACTCGCACAGGGGCGTCAGTCACCGCCACAGACTCGCACAGGGGTGTCAGTTACCGCCACTGAGGCTCAAACAGGGGTGTCAGTCACCACCGCCGAGGCTCAAACAGGGGTGTCAGTTACCGCCACTGAGGCTCAAACAGGGGTGTCAGTCACCGCCGCTGAGACTCGCACAGGGGTGTCAGTTACCGCCACTGAGGCTCAAACAGGGGTGTCAGTCACCGCCATTCATAGTCACATAATGAGTGCCATCCCTGTTGCATCCGCATCCAATCCCCATCATGTTCACACATTTTCACCGTGGGATGTTTGTGAGGAAATACTCGTTGCTATGATACAGCATCCGAAATCCCAAGGCAAGGCCCTGCTGGAGGATCAATGGGAAACCGCCCCCACAACAAAATCCCAGCGTGAGAGGAAGGAGAGAATGTGGTACCTAAAGAAAATAAGAAAATATGTGTATTTCCCAGAATGATTATCCCAATAATCACTATTAAAGCCTTATTTCTGATTGATGGCAGTAAATTGCTATGTGCAGTAACAGGAGGTTTTGTACGCTAATAGTCAGATTTTTATTTCTGGGAAATTATGTGAGGAATGCTGAAGGTTCAATAAAAGGAAGAGAAGGATGATAGTAATTGCCTCCTCATTATGATTCGGCCACACACAGCTCGAGTTTGGCGGGAACACAGCGTGCCTTCATTCTCCGAAGAGCTTGCAGCAGCTCAGTGTGGTGTCCATTCAGTAGGAAGGCAGCCCAAACAGCACAAAAAAAAACGAAAGAAGATCCCAAGTAGACAACAAAAGGCCCCATTGGCCTGCACGGACCACAACCCAATCCTCACGTTGGCGCAGACAAAAGGAGGGATCGACACAAACCACCTACTGTAATGTAAGACAAGGAGGGAGTTCGGCAACAAGGGCTAGCAGCAGAGGTGGAAAGTTCAGGTTCAGAAAGAATAATCCAGACCAAGAGTTTGTTCCAACCAGCCATTTGAGTACTCTGCGACTGTGACTCTTTATACTCAACCGGTTGGTTGAAACAGAATTCTGGTCTGGATTTGTACTTTCTGAACCTGAACTTTCTACCTCTGGCCAGTGGGCAGGTGGGGAGGGTGGGGTTGACGAGACATAACGTCTGCAGGACGTTGGAAAACAAAAAAAGACGGAGCCCAGTCAGGCGGGATGAGCACTAAAGGTCAAAACCTCTGATTAAACCAGTACCTATTAGCCTAAGTGATCGGCCACGTTTAGGCACATTTAGCCAACACTGAACAGCGAATTAATGCTCTGCTAACCAACACTGCGGCAGACAGTGGAGCAGCCCAAGCGTTCAGTAGTGTCTTAAGCCTATGGGACAGCAGAGAGCATGGTAGTCAAGGAACCAGGGCTACAAAACACTTGTGAATAACAGCCTAAATATTGATATTATACTCTAGAATCAAACTACAAAGCTTTGGGAGAGACAGTGAACCAGGCAATTGCTCATTAAGATGACAGATGACACACGGCATGTGGCAAACATTGGCTAACAACTGATCACATGAGGCCTGACTTCCATGTTGCTCACACCAGTTGGGTCAATCTAGCACCAAGCTCATTCACACCAAGCCCGACGCTGCCAAATACACCTGCCAAATGTACTGCCCCCTGCATAGAGACCTGCGGGGAGCCTGGGGGGGACATGACTTCCTGACCTAAGAGTACCTCCCCCATCAGCCTGATCACACACTAACTCCCAGCATAAGCCGAGAAACAGTAGGTGCTTCTCAATGCCAAGAACGCAAAGATTGTACTTTTGGTCTTGGCAAGACGAACTTGAGATGCAGTGAATCATGGGATTGTTTTCGTTTGGTGAGGATGCAACTGATGTATCCTTGTTATTTGGGGGCGGGGCAATAACAACATCCAGGGATTTTTACTGTCCTCTGTACTTCTCTTCTTGAGTATTTGAACTGGTTTTCAGCAATGGAAGATGACATAAAACACGTACGCGAGAACACAAGTACGGTCAAGTACACATACTGAGAAAAAGCCAGCGTCCAGGTGTCGGCAGGCATGAGCTTGAGGTGACAACCAATCACAGCGGAGATAACACGCCTGACTTCTGATGTGGTGACCCGGCACACTGTGAGCCCACCACCACCAGGTTACCCGCTCGCACTCCCAGAAAATGCTGTAGCCCAGTTCAGTATGGACATCAAAATGGATAAAGCACCACAGATCATTTAGCCATCATGGTGTTTCGGTCTGAACAGACCTTCTGATGGGCAGTGGTGGCTTCATGGTTAGGGAAGCACACTTGTAGTTCGAATCCCCGACCAGCAAGGCACCACTGAGGTATCCTGAGCAAGGTACCGACCCCAAGCGTTGAATTAGCTGCCCCCTGCTACGTCACGAAGTCACATATGGGTTAAATGCAGAGGACACATTTCGTTGTTGTGAACTGTGTGGCAACACTGATCACCAAATTCTAATTCTGGTGTTCAGATCTTACCTAGCCGCTCTTGCTCCAGTGCTAACCGGCACTTGTCACTGGCCTCTCATTGGACGCGCAGCCCAGTAGCACTTGTACCCAGCTGGCTCCTTGACAGCCGTATGATTGTGATGTATTACCTGCCTCTCTACTACGCTGCTTTGGACAGATAAGTCGGCTAAATAGTTTAGCGTAAATATAGCTCTGACTGAGCCAGCGACCAAACCCTCAACAATCAGAACTTGCCCAAAAGCAACACTGTGAAATCCTGGGACCTCCACTACATTCGTGTCGCCCGGCAACCATAAATATGTGACAAACTGACAAACGGCTGGCTCGCGACATACACCCACGCAGCACAGAGACCGAGCGCCATTCCCATACCAAGCAGGGCGGCTCTCTGTTGAGGAGAAGAGGGGAAAAAAAAGACGTTTTGTTCCAAGCCGGAAACTTAACATTCATTTCTTGTTTGCATTCTGTTGAAAACACGGCACTCTAATTATGTAACACATATTGGTATAATGATTTTCATTAAGCCATAGAATATGATATTTTCCATTTAATTACCCATTTATGAACACTTTTATGCTTTGTTTGCTACCAGGACGGCTGATCGAAGCTCACTGGATGAAGAGATTATCACTGTTATTCTCACCTGGTACACCTTCCATACACATCCCCCCCCCCCCCGTGAAAAACAAAAGCACTGTCCATGATTCAAAAAGAATCCCTGAATTACTGAAGGCTTGAAAAGAGCCAGACATCACCAAAGTTCATTCACGGTCAGCTGATTCACCCCCCTCCCAGCCACCGCTTTGGGATCAGCTAAACCTACAGAAAGCGGCCCAGCAGGGGTTAAACCAGGACACCGCCGTACATTATGGTTATAACACTCTCTGGGCTCACAGCGTTGGTGCTGGACACCCAGTGTCAGTAATGGACACAAACTGCAGGCACACTGGAGACTTAAAGTCAAATATGTAGAAAGGGGCTCTAGGGCCCGACTGGCGAGGAAGTTATTACTGCTGAAGAGGGATCGTTATTAAGCAGAAGGTCCTGGCACTCTGGCTGTTTATGGTAGTTTCCATTTTACTTTCCACATATGCTGTTCTGGCCAGGAACGCATGTTAGTCAGAATTTTATCATCAAGTGGTAACGCTGGTGTTTGTCTCCCTAATGCCCTGGCTCTCTGCCCAATTGGAGAGCTGGCTTCAATTCCCCCCCCCACCACATGGCAGGCGCAGGATCTGACACCCTCCAAACCATGGCAGACGGGAGGGACTTGCGGGGGACGCCCCGTGACTCGGTGTTCCCATCGTGGTCGCGTCACTAATCCTCGGAAGCGAGCGGCCAGGTTTGATCACGGAGGCAGCATCCTGCTCCAACCTCCATGCGTCTGGCAGCAGGAAAGCGATCCGCACTGCAGAGAAACCGACTTTCACTCGGAGTCTGACGCAGACAACAGCAGCTGCTGTTAAAGTTTGTCAGCATTTGCATCTGACCTCTTTAACATGTGGCAAAAAAACAAAACAAAAAAAAAATGTGTATTAAGTATATAGTAAGGCTATATGTGCAAACTTCACCGTCGAATGTGGAGTTTTTAGTGGCACCAGTTACACTCTGCTCTCATCCCTGATTCCGCACTAGAACAGGGATGTCAGAATATAACAAAGTGCCTAAATCGCTAAGGTCAGCAGTGCCTGTGTCCCACGCACACAGCTGGGGAGCCTTCTGGGTGTAACTCAGATAGCAGCTGGGTGTAACTCAGACAGCAGCTCCCCCTGGTGGAGAGTGGGAGAAGCATCAAGGCTGATTTAACACGACTCCTTGACCATATGGATGCAGCGACAAACAAACAGGCACAGTCTGTGCCAAAGCCCATCTGCAGCTCACTACAATCAGCCCCCCAGCCGGCTTTTCTCCCCCCATCTCTCGGACGCGGAGGCAGCCGCAGCTGCCAAGGGAGGCACACATTCCACAGGCAGCTGTCACGCACGCCGACGTGTGTCCCCAGCGGAGGCCGGATATTAAAGCCAGACCGTCCAAATCCCGGCCGCAGTGGGGACAATCAGGCGTGATAAGGCGGAGGCAGCGGGGGGCAGGGCCGCGACACGGCTGTTCACAGGAAGCAGGCAGCAGAGGCTTTACATGCCAGAGATTTCCTCTGTGGCCCGGGGTGGCAGAAACGGGCCTTTAAATCAAAAGTCAGACCCAAGCCCCTCAAAAGCTTTTAATGTTTATGAAACACAGCTGACATGTGATTCTCATCTATTTCCTTTACCAACAGCAGAAGCTTCATTCTGGTCCCGCCAGAGAGCCACATGTAGAAATCAGGACCAGCATGCTGCTCAGTGAAACCCGGAGCCCCAGTGAAAGTCCTGCTGGCGTTCAGAGCAGGCTGCCTTGGGGGGGGGCACCACAACACGGCCTGATTTGGCGTTCAGAGCAGGCTGCCTTGGGGGGGGGGATACCACAACACGCCCTGATCTGTAGAAGCATCCCATTCCCAAGCACGTCTTTGCTGTTCCTTCAGCTCCCATCTGCTGTCTTACATGGAAATACAAAAATCACCCAGTGAGCCAATGCTGCATGCAGTACGCTGACTGCCATGGGAAGCCCTTAAGGAGGAACAGGCGAGTCTGCAGACTACGCTCATCACCATATGCTGATACCAAGATATCCGTCCCATCTGACCCCGCAGGTCCAATGTCTCAAACCAGGACACATTTGGACTAAAACGAGGTGATCAGCATGTTCATGTTCCTGTTAGAGCAAGATGTAGCTATTTTGTGTTTCTCGACCCAGCCCACGGTGACAGAAGGTCCACGTTTTTGCTCCATCTCAGCTCCCTGCCAGACAGACAGGACAGAGTTTGAGAAACAGTGGCCTAGTGGGTGTTTGACACTAGGGGGATGTATCTCAATCATTTAAATACAAAGGTCTATTTAGAGAGTATGAATGAATTAAAATTATATATCCCCCCGACCCCCCCAGTTTCTAGGCCTCTGGCTGTTTGTTCCACGCTGGAAACAGGAGTAACTTTCTTGAGCCGGCTAACATAAATTAACTTCTACATGAGTGGGGGTGACTCAGTTACCCCACGGACACATTTACAGGGGTAGAAAATACCGACAGCAAGTTCTCCATAGCACACCGTGTCCTGAGAGTATTAGAAATTAATATTTATTGGATTCTAACCCCTCATTTAAGCAGAGCAACATTCATCATGTCTTGTATATCAGTACTCATTTCACAGCCCAACAGAGACGCCATTACCACCGACTATTCCTGTGAGACCTACAGCACTCCAATCTCAGTGCACATGTCAGCAAAAGCGGCCGTTTTGAGCAGAGGGCTGAAAATTGCATACCGTCTTGCGCAGGTCCTGGTTTGAGACGATGATGACATTGGGCGGGTCGCCGACGGCCGTGGCTGCACCTCCGATGTTGGTGAAGATCACTTCTGCAATCAGGACATGTCTGGGGTCCAGATTAAGCACCTCACACAACCTGCAGGAGAAGGAGGCGCAAAGAGAGTGAGGAAAACCCTGCGGCTTTATGAGAAAGGTGGGTGGAAGTTAAACCCTGATTCAATCCTTTTAAAACATTCCAGAAAGTTCCATGGGCAGTCAGGGACAGCTACGAAACAAACAGCGAACCATAGAAATAAAGACGTATGACTGGCACAACCCAGAGCTTCCTGCACCTGCAGCAGCAGCAGTTTTTGTGGCTTAGAAAGGCCAGAGACGGCCAGGTGTGGAGAGTTTTTCTGAGGCTTCATCTAATAACCGGCTATGTATCACCCAGACCCTCACTGACCTCTGCATTCCACCAGGGGGGGCTTGTCAAGCTGACCTGGTTTCTGTCACCAAAAAAAAAAATATTCAACAAGCTGATGAAATACTGCTCTGAGAAAAACAGCCTTTTCAGGTTAATCTTTTGTGTTGGAGGAGGCAGAATTACACGGAGCAATTCGTCTGTTCAAAGGAATGTTTCTGTTGGCTACTTACAGCATGAAAGCGATCTTCCTCCAATCAAACAGTGCATTCTAATCCTGTTCGATAAGACAGGTTAGCACCAGTCAGCTTTACTGGGAAGCTACACAAAGCTCACGCTATATTAACCAGATCATCTCTCTACACATTTATACACCCAAAAACCTTGAATGAAAATGTTCATCAAGATCATCTCAAACTGAGATGTGTCTGGATACATAGACAGACATGGGGTTCAATAAGCTGAACATTAAAAATGGCGGCAGGCAGAGCAGCTGTCCAAAGGTATGCAGATCCCTACAAAGGGAGCAGTCCACCAGAGCTGTGTAACATAGGAATCACACAACGTTCTGCAGAACACAGATCCTCTAATTAGAACCAAAGAGCAATTCAGGCCAGCGGCAAAAGAACAGCAGAATTCTGCAAATGGTAAATGGTCTAGGAATAGAGACAGCTTCAAGACGGATAGACGGCGGACTGAGTCTCAGTCTACAGCGAGAAGCCTGGAAACGTCACGGAAGCAGCGGAGACCACAAGACATCCCTAGGAACACGAGTATAGCGCGGTAGATGTGGAGGGGGCGGAGTCAATCGGCAACAGAGCAGCAGATAATATCAAGCCTTGTCGTCCATCGCCGACTCCAACACGTACCTTATGGTGACAGGGGTGAAGAGCATCATGGTGGTGACATTGTCCAGGAAAGCAGACAGGATAGCAGCAATGAGGCAGAGGATGGTGATCATCGGCCAAACCCTTCCTCTGGACAGGTGGTAGGCCTCATTGGGGGAGAACAGGCACATGCAATGCTCATGCTCAAATGCAGTCCTGCAACTGGGGCTACAATATCATAATTTGGTTATTTTAATGATTATCAGTTAATCAGCCATGCATCTGCATCACATGACCCAGATCCGATTCAGGATTAAAGTGACCTTAGGGACAATCCCAGCAAGCAAAGGGCCACACACACGAGAACCAGGCACCTTAGACACACCAGTCCACATAAGCTATGGAGGATAACCGGACATCCCAAAAGAAACACACACAAGCTCCTAACCACATGATTTAAAGACAAAATCCATACATGCATAAGAGGACAAAATCAAGTGTGTCAAAGGTGTTCAGCTCCCCCCCCCCTAAAATTGCCAAAATTCCATACACAAATGACAGATCTGAATAGTGAACATGACACCAACAATGACAGTCACTATTTAAAAACAGAGAGACGTTCCAGAAGGTTCCTGAGGCCGTTCTCACAGCAAATCGCTCATTTACAGTCACATAACAGGTAAGGAATCAGCCTGATTCGAGCCCCAGGTACAGGAGTGATGTCCTCCGAGCGCTGAAACACGGTCATAAATTTACCCAATGACACAGCGGGCGTGGGGGGGCGGGGGGGGGAAGCTCTGTGTTAGCACTCCGCCATGATTAAAGAGACAGCAATCTACAAAGGGGCGAGAGCGATCCCAGCAGCCCGGCCCAAGGTCAGCAGCTCAGTCACTCCCTCATCAGCGTGGGGGGGGCAGGATGGATGTGCGTCCGCAGCGAGACCAGCTCCCGGCAGGCCACACGTACAGCCAGTAGCTCATCACTCTCCTCCACATGCAATTTAAATGAATCCCTAGTCCTTAATTAATGCCTCTTGGCTTCCGGAAGTAATTTTTTCTTGTTTTGCTTTCGTATTTTTTAAAATTTCTCAGTCAATTTTTTTTCCCCAATCAGTGCTATGCCGCTCATAAGCTTCGGATGGGAAAACGGCAGCCGAGCCAATCTGTGCTGCAGACATGATGATCTTCTCAGCTGACATATTTACAGAAGCAGTTTGAGTGAGGTGCTTATCCCAGAACTGGCAGCCGATCATGGTGCTTATCCCAGAACTGGCAGCCGATCATGGTGCTTATCCCAGAACTGGCAGCCGATCATGGTACAGACCCTTACTGCAAAAAAAATCTGTACGCATGAGTACTTACATCACTTCTGAAATTAATCTTTATACACTGTTGATACGCCACAACTCCTTTAGCTAAAGATACGTATATCAACTTCTCTTCTCAGGTTTGTAAAGGTAATGCATCATCTGTACCTTTTCAATAAAAGCTTCTAGCTGTTTTTTTAAGTGTGAGCACTAATTTTAACAACCTAGAAAAATGTTTCTTGAGTAGGAACTTGGTGTAAAATCACAAGATTATTTCCCTGAATGTCTTGCACCTGTCGCAATATTAGCATTTGATTCTAAAATTGTCAAAAATGACAGTTTGTCTTTACCTTTAACATATTTAGCTTTGGTTAATGGTTATTGTTACTTTGCTGTTTATGATTATGTTATTTAGTTTATGATACATTCCTAATATCCGAAAGCAGACTTTGTCAGGATTCATATTTCAATCTTTTAAGGTGCCGTTCGTGGATCATGTTAAATTGATCATTTTAGCCAGACTTCAGTGTTAGAAAGAGCGTTTTCCTCTAAACTAATAAATAAGCATACAAAGGAAAAATTTAAAGGAAAACAGACCAGCGACGGGAGGAAAAACAGAAAAATGACTGTCACTTCAAACAATGCTTTCCTTAATAGGCAATTTTAGTCAATATTTGTCATTTAACTCTGATACAAAGCTATACAAGCTTAGTCCAACGAGAGCTCAGATCTTGCCACTGAAAATGCAGATAATATATCCAAAATACGAGGGCACCTAATTAACTGTCATCTCGAAAGGCAGACTGACGCCACAGATGGGAGACGCCCCCCCATCTTCCTGAAATCACCTGCAGCTAATCAGGAAGCCTGAGAAACTCGTATCACTCAAATCGAGAGCGGCCTGCAAAACAGCAACATCCAGACCGGCACGCCATCGGATTTGGGGAGCTTTCCGAGTCACGTACTTCACATGAAGTTAAAGTCAAATGTGTGGATGGGAACCTGGGATCAAATACAGAGGTGATCCAGCAAAACCAAGGACCATATTCACAGTCATGTTCCACTCAAATTATCACACTGATTGGCAAAATGGATACAGACCAAGAAAAGGAAGAGACTGCAATAGAGTCATATCGAAACAGACAATTCATAAGGTGCTACTGATTAAACATTAGAAGATGAGCCAGTTCAATCTACCAGCGGCTGACCTGGCTTAAGAGTCACAGACAGACAGTGTGTTAGGCAGATACCACTTCATAGACTATATAAATGAGACCAATACACCGTGCATATGAACATACTTCCCAACAAATCACCAGGATCCTTTCACTGCACCGCTAGAAGGAAATTCTCATGAAAATTATTTTTGATGCCCCCAAGTCAAAATATATTCTGATAGGTAGATTTCTTTAACAGCATGTGTTTTAATGAGCATGCATAGTCTTAATAGAGAGACAGAAATTCCATACACCTGAAATGGGTGATTTGGCGATGAAAATAAAAGCGGAGTTATTAAATCTGATTTGGAGAAATTTTCAAAGAGGGTCTAAAACCAGTCGATTACAAAATATGATCAGCGGTGTGGCTGTTTTCACAAAACCACAAGCTGGAATACCTAATGCGCTACATTTTCCATTCTCTCCAGTGTCCGGGCTGCAGTTATTTGAGAGGAAATATTTTGAAGGTAAAGGTAAATGGTGAAGCAGCCATTGGCTGGCGTGAATATAGCGCCAAATCGCCTGCAGACCTCGGCTCTCGAATGACCAATGACTGACTGCCTGAACAGGAGGTTGGGCTCATGTAGCGCAGCCTTCATTCAGTAGTAGCAGACAGCGCTGAAGCAGGCCCTCCCCTCTCCTCGGCCCCAGGCCAGCATGACGCCTTCCGAATTTCATCATTTTGAGGCTTACTATATTTGAAGGACGTTTGGAGTTTTCACGCAAACCTTGAGCTCCCCCCCTTCCCCAAATGTCCACGGTGTCAGGAAGGCCAATGTCTCGTAAAAATCTATTAACTTTCCTCCAGAAATGCTAACAGCTCTCTCTCTTTGGAGAGTCTTGTTCATTTCTAGGAGCTCTTAAGGTTTGGATGGGGAGGGTGGGGGGGTGGTGGAAATTTTTGGCAATAAACTCAAGGTTTTCCAAGGAAAATGGTGCCTGTGAAGCAGACACATGCTTACCTACTGAGTACAGCAAGGATAGCCCCCCCCCGCCGACTCACCTTCACGGCACAGTAATCGAAGAATCCCGTTTCAGAAAAGATGGCCACCAAAACCATCTGCGGGAAAAGGAAACAGGCCAGAATTTTTACAGATGAATATGAACATAGCTGACCTGTCAACAGAACTCATCAGCACCAAGTCACAGGACACATGGGAGCAAATTTAGAGACACCAATCTATAAAGGAGCGAAAACTCGAAAAGGAGCAAAAACCAGTTTGTTACAGGACTAGCCTGCCCATATTTACTGGGCCTCGGCCCCTTATTCATTCATCGGTAAGGATTGCTCTCACACTGCTCAGGAAGTTTCTGCTCCAGGCTGCGTTTTAACAAATTTAAAACCCACACTAAGCTCTATTTATAGGCAAACAAAGGACTAAACATTTATGTATTCCGTTCATTAACAAAGTATCTGAGAATAATAGGTTAACTCCAAAAGCATTTACGATTTTTCCAGACGCACTGAAACGTGAATTATGTTACTTCCAATTACCCACACCCAGGGGGCGCTCTTTGCGATGACAGGGTGATAACAGGATCCCCGTACCTCATGCCAAAACACCTTCCCCACAAATCGTCGTGCTCACCACCATCTCCTCGCTCTTTGTTACATTTTCCTCCCTGATAATGACTTTCCCCCCCTAGTTGCCGGCACACTCCATCAAAAGTGCTCGTAAGAAGTTCGTTTCCATGGAGATATGCTCAGAACACAGCAAGATCTTAACACTACGACAATGCCGAGTGGGCAGGTGGGGGTGGCGAGTAATAACAGCAGACTGTCAGATTTAGAAAAGACAGATTGATTAATTGATTTAGCCAGACAGACAGGCAGGCTCACTACTGTCAGATTTAGAAAAGACAGATTGATTAATTGATTTAGCCAGACAGACAGGCAGGCTCACTGACACAGACAGGCAG